AAAAAAAAATCTAATAAAAAATAAAACTGTTTTTGTTCCATTGATCTGTTTGTATTTATGTGCCAGCACCATCTTGTTTCAGAAAATTTCAAATATACGTGAAAGTATGTACCATATTGTTTCACTACTGTTTAATACTGGACAGAGCTAGTGCTTTCTCATTTCTGTCCCGACTATTTTGGTTATTTTGGTTATTGCTCTTCCCCAAAATGCCATGTAGTTCTCTGCTTTTGCTCTTGCTGGCTCCTCTTTATAAAATACATTAAAATACCTCACCTTCCCAGTTCCTGCCATTCAAAATGTTCTTCAAAACCCAGTTAAAATGATACTTCCTTCTTGAAGTTGTCACCATCCCTTAGATTCTCATAGTATCTTGTTACACTCTTGTGGCACTTTCTGTATATTAACTAAAATTAGTGCTCCTTGGATACATGACTTACCTATTTTGTTAGACTAGGTGATCCTAGAAGGCGGACTAGGCCTCACCCATCTTTGAATACCCCACAGTCGCTAGCACAGTGACCTTTCCTTCCTTCATTCAGGAAGCATTTAGGAAGCAATTGCCATCTGCAGCACGATGGGGCTGAGTGCAATGGGGAATGTGGAGTGATACAAGACACGATCCCTGGCCTCAGGAAAGTTTATAGTCTTATTGGGAATACCAGGCTTTAGACACATAAAATAACGAACAATAAATACCAAGCATTCAAGTGTTAAATGGGTGGTACTTACAGTAAGTACTTGATGAGTCCAGAGGAATAATATCCATAGAGTGCTTTGAATGAATTCAAGGGAGATCATTTCAGTCAGAGGGAAAGGCATCAACAAAGATTCTAAGGCAAGAATGTATAAGCTGTGTTCAAGCGGGTTAGGTGGTGCCAGTCCAGGGCGAAGCCAAGAGGATGTAGTCACAGTGCCCATCTGACCAAGTGTTCCAGGAGGCCAGACTTGCACATTTCACCCCTGAGCTGCTCCAGACTCCTCGGGGATATGGAGACTAATCACAGGTTCTCTGGTACAGTGCCAAAGTGGCCTCAGGAGCATCCTGGATGCTTAGTTGAGTCCGGCAGATACAGGCCGTGCCATCACTCCCATTCTGGAAGCAAGAAAGGGAAAATGGGTGCTTTTACTTCAGATAACTGCTGGGGGAGGGGGGGCGGGGATGAAGATATTTAACTTGAAGGCAGGAGGCAGAGTATTCTGGGTTACAGAAACAGTGTTCACTCACTCAACAGACATTTACCTTTTGTATATCAGGAGTATGCTAGGTGCTGGGTAAGCAAACTGAGTGAGAGAGAGTGTGTGCATGTGTGGTTGTGTGTGTGTGTGAGAGAGGGAGACAGAGACAGAGAGACAGAGA